TATTTGAAACAATTTTAAATCACTTTCTGTAACAAAAAATTCTTTCAATCTGTCACACATTTAGGGATAAGAACTGCAACATCATTTCTACTCAGGTTAGAGTTGTGGCCTATAGGCCTCTTGTTTAATTGTTATCATGCATGATGTTTGCATTTGTACAGACAAATTTTAATTTTAACATTTAATGACTGTTGATGGAATCATTTTTTTATTTAGACGCAATCCACAGACTTCAATTATTTATATTCATCCAGTAAAGTAGAGTCTTTTTTTTTCAAAAGAACAAATTTGGACAAAGTACCCTGTAAGTTCCATCCTGAAAGTATGATACATATATGTGCAATTTAAAACCCCGACGGGAAGGTTCAATATATAATAAATTAAAATGGTTGAAATTATCGGCCACAATAATAGGAATGCTTACACGTCCATGGCACCTGATCTCAACTCGGATGTTTTCATAGGTTCGTGTTAGCTCTGCTCCCGATTTATTCTTCTAACTTGATAACTTTCGTCATCTCCATATTTTATGCAATTTCATTTAAAAGAAAAAAATCAATGGTGACTATGATCATCGTAGCTCATGGATTCCTCGTTTACATAACTCGTACTACGTGCGGATAAATATGTTCCTTTACGTTTAATGAACATTTAGTATTTGAAAATCATAAATTTGAATCCAAGAGTATTTCAATCCGCAAAAACAAGAGAAATAATTCAGGATTTTGCAGATTGTTTCGATTCATTTTATTGTTTGTCTTTTTATATATGAAAAAAAAAACTGTGAATATTTTTTTTATAAGCTCACCTGCGTCGAAGGCTCAAAAGAGGTTTGTCTGATGGAAAAATCTCCGTTGTCTGACGTCGTTTGCGTAGTTGTCATAACCTTTTCACAATTACATCTTCTCCATAACTTTTTGCCCAATTTCAACCAAAAGTATTTTAATTTGGGTGAAGTGAACCATATGGAGATAACGAACAGTATTCAAGATCAAAAGTCCTTAAACAATAAAAAATAGGAGCAGAGCAAACACGGACCTCAAAAACATTGGGGTGGGATCAGGTGCCATGGAGGGGTGACCATACCCTGCCGACCGATCACACCGGCTGTGTGATCAATGGGGAAACAACGGAAAAATCCGTCGTCAATTCAGTGTATAAATAATGGACTAACAATAAGAATGAAAAACGTCAGTCAGCATTTGACGCAATGATAAATTGTAATTTCTGTAAAGTCATTGTATCGACCATAGAACTTACGAAATGATGACTTTAAACGAGACTGCTGATATTCTTGTTTCATCAACTTGTTTGTCAATAATTTACCTCTTTTTGAAATTGTTCATACTTAGTTCATGCTATAGCGTATCGAATCAACTGAGATATATAAACTCCGTATGCAGGTGATGAAGGTATATTGCTGCATAAGTAAGGGAAGTTGACGATAGAAAAGTTAGCCATCACGTTTATCATAGAGCTTGGTTGTTAGATCACCATTAACGTCTTTTTCAAGTATAATTTCCAAGTATGAAAGAGATGTGTCAGACTCTATGGCATCTTTTATCTCAAGCTCACCAGGATATATCGTGTCGACATAAGAATGGAAATTATCATTGTTAATTGAAAATACGTCGTAAATAAATCTAAATGTCGAGGAGAAGGCCACTACTACTGTTAATATCTTAATGAGGAGTAAAGAAAGGGGATTAAAGTTTCTTTAAATGAAGGGTCACGCCCTCCTCTAAGGGGTACATAATTTCTATAATAGCGAAATCTTATTGACATCTTCTTCAGAAGCAATTGGACAGGAAACATAAAACTCACGTGGAATCAGTTTCAGATAGAATAGATTCAAGATTGTTCAAAACATGACCCCGGGGTACTATCGGACGGGGCCAATATGGACGATGTTTTACACAGGAATACACAGAAAAAATCTTCTCAAGAAAAGCAAAGCGATGATTACTCATATTTATTTGAAATCATGTTCAGGCGGTGTAGATTCAAGTTGTTTTTTTTTTTTTAATCATGATCCCCAGGGGTAGGACAGGGCCAAAATGGACGATCAAAATTTAAAATAGGAGTACATGTATTTACGAAATATTTTCAAAAATCTTCTCAACAACAGCAAAGCTACGTGGGCTGTTCAATAAATAATGTCCTGAACTATATGATATACATTACGGATATCATATGACATTAAACATGACTTTCTCTCATTATTGAATCTTCCATGAATTTATAACAGTTTATGTGACCACTTTTCATCACATAGTTTCATCGTGAGAAGCTGGGAAACAAGGGCTTTTCGAGACACTGCATTATAAATGAATGGTAAAGAATCAGTAAACTAGAGTGAAAATAAATGCTTCATTAAAGCTGCCGTAAAACTTGTTAAAAATCCCAAAGAAATATTCACTGAAATATGTGACATTTACAGCAACCAATGCCTGTTTATAGACAAAAGAGCAGGTGGATTTCAATGATAAAAAATTATATAATTGGCATCAAAAATGGGTACCGTCCTTGCCGACAAAAATTATAACAACTTATGTACTGTTCGCCAAATTTCAACAAATAATATTTGATGATGTATGATTGACTTTAAGACACATAGCAAATTAGATAGACATCATATTGGGAGTAGTTTACACAGTTTTAAAAAAAACGTTTGACGGTAAAAAAGCTTGGTACTCAAAGGTCACCCTATATTTTGAAAAATGAGTGAAAATGACAGCGTATACGAAATTCTTAACAATTATTTTAAAATATCAGTAATTGTAGTTATCCACGTTTGTTTTATTTTCAAACAGATATTGGAACATGAATCTATTGCTTAAAACCCTAAAAACAAAATTTACCATAAGATGTACTTGATAAAAACGGCGAATGTCTGACGAGAGCACAGGTATGCAAGAGCACAAAGACAGATTTATAAGTAATTTTCTTAAAAATTAGTGGTATTGTTGTTCAAATTCGTATTCGGAGAGACAGTTTAATTTCTGGGGGAGTCTAGAAAGCGATTTTCTTGCAAAAAAATCGAAGGGTTTATTAGAGGAAGGACCCAGAATCAGGAATCCACTACATTGTACATTGAATTTCTTAATGACAGCGTCCAAACCCGCATGCCCTGAAGAGTAAAGGGGTTTTCGGGATGAACAGAAAGTTAATGTTTTTTCACATTAACAATATTCGCCAGATCTTTGACCTTTTGACTTGTTTCTATTTCCAAACTTGAAAAAAACACCTTTCAGAAGGAAGAAACAAGTACGGGAAATCATTGGATCTGTCATTTTCCAGTATACTAAGGGACATACCCAAAAATGAGTTCTAAAAACAATCAGAAATTGGATCAAAAATGTTACGGAGATGTATTTTGCTTAAAAGAGATTAATAAGTAAAATCATGAAGACTAAATCATTGAAAAGTGTCTTTTGATTCTTTCTGAGCACCGAGGACATTATTTATTGAACAGCCCTCGTATGATTGGTGATTTTTATATGGCTACATCTCAGGTGGTGTAGATTCAAGTTAGTTCAATCATGACCCGCAGGGTAGGACAATCATATTTTTACATAGAAATTAGAGAAAAATCTTTAAAATCCTCTTGTCAAGAACAGCAAAGCAATGATTAGTCAAATTTATATGGAAGCATCCTCAGTTTGTGTAGATTCAAATTTGTTCAAATTATGACCCTCAGGGGTAAGGCAAAGCCACGATGAAAGTTTTGTAGAGAATTTTTTTTTTGTTAGTCAAAAATATGTAAGCATCCTTAGTTATGTAGATTCGATTTTGTCAAAATCATACCCCCCCTCCCCTCGTAGGGGTAGGTTGGGACCACATATGCATTTAACCTTTCCGATTCTAAACTTTTTTCGTTACCACAGTGCTCAGGTGAGCTATGTGGCCCCTGGGCCTCTTGTCAGACTTCTATTGAAAGTGTTACTTTTAAGGTCAATGTGCTTTGTGTGGTGTTTTTACCTACAAGTCATCCAGAGTGTTATACAAAATTCATTTTTCCAATGAGAATCCATTTGAATATGGATAAATATAATTATATATATCAGGGTTTACGTGTATTAAACTTCAAAAGTTCAAACGTAAATTGTATCTGGTTTTCTTCAATATTCTATATAAATAAATATTATTTGTTAATCCATTTAGTGAGAGTAACTACGCAATAATAGCGAAAAAACTGCACCGAAAAGATTTGTCATTGTCGTATCACAGAAGGAATGTAAAAGTGTCAAACAAATTTTATATAATATCAAGTTTATGTGGCAATAATTATTATGAGGAAGCCAAAGATTTTAAGCAGGTAAAAAGGTTTCTCCTGAGAAATCATTTAAGATAGATTTCAAATAGATTTTTCTTTTTAATGAAGAAAATTTGAAAGGTTCACCGACATTTTCGTCGATGAACTCATATTTTGGACTCGCTGCTTTCGATCAAAACTGATGGAAGACATTCGAAGTTTAACATGATTTCTGGCTTTGCGAATTACAATGATCAAAGTTGCTAAATATAAACGAACTTTAAAGAGTAGAATCAATATTTCACCCTTAACATTTGAACTGCATGAAATGGGAAGAAATACATTTAAAAAATCTCATATATTTTTTTATATCAATAATGTGTAGAAGTTAGATTAAAAAAGATCTGGAAATTAATCATCCAAAGATCCGTTTTTACGAATGAAAATTACTGAATAAGATAAAGTTTATATTATTATATAAACCTGCTGGTCTCCGACAATACCATTATATTTTTTTTTTCTCAATCCATATGTCGCCTCATGGCCACTCAGTTTCAAGTAATGTTCATAAAAATACTGTACATGAAATATCGAATTGTCGATGTTAAAGTCCAATTCTAGTATGTGCATTATATGAAACTCACCTTATCTGGCGTGGTCACTTTCTCATCTTCAAAGTACTATACATGAAATATCAATTGTCGATGTTAAAGTTCAGTACAATTAGTCGATTACAGGTACTTACCTTATTTGGCGTGGTCAGTTTTCTTATTCTTCAAATACCACAAACTCTACAAAACAGTACAAATACATTTATTAAAATTCTACCCTTAAATGTATGTAAAACAGATTTAAAGTTTTAAGTTCTATAGATAAACTAAATTTTGCCGCTAGAATTGAGAAATTCATGCTTTCTAGAAGTTAATGTACTTGCATGAAGTATCATTCAAACCAACAGATCAACGGAATCTCACAGACATATGATATTTATTTTTACAGATCATGTAGATGTACGAAGTATAAATGTTGCTTGTACCAGGCTTTTTCTTCAGATAGATCACTGTTCGTTAACTTAAAATTCACAAATGTAGTTCTTGATGCAAGAATTTACCCATTGCACTAATTGAAGAGCTTTGCTGGAAAGTAAATTTATTTTAAAATATATATTTTCTAATTTATGTGTGTGTATTTCTTGTTTTCTTGTTATTTCTATATATCTGCATTCTTCAAAGTCTGGTATAATACGCTCTTTACCACTCTGAATACACTCTGAAGTTTTCAAGATGCGCAATTATCAGGAATAAAAACAGATGACAATTCACACTATTCAATGTGCTTTTAAACAGATGCGAAATTGGATTCCATTGCATTGAAGTTTCAATTAATCTTACTTAATGTAATCAACATTAAACACATTACATAGCGTAAAAATATAGGTTGAATATTGTAATGGACTTACATTAAACGGAAGTGAATGCAACATCGTATAATTAACGACAACGTTCACAGACCGCGAAATTTTATTTTCATATCATGGAGATTATCTTAATGTGTTGGGAACATCTGACGGCAAAGCCATGAATAGCTAGTATTGAATAACATACTAAGAAAAAAAATATTGATTGATTTTTATTTGTCCTTTGATATCGGTAGTCACTTTCCATGTAAAATATTTTCAATCCAATTCTTAATTTTCGAATTAAAAAGAAAGAGCATTAATTTCTTTAGCAATCAATTATCAAAGTAATAGAACATCATATTTTCCTTTTCGAATCGTTCTTTTGTATTATATTTTTTCTTTAAACAAAATACAAACTTACCTCCTCGTAAATATCAATGTGAAAAATATTTTATATAACATTCAAGGCATAAGTTATAGATGGATAATAAAGATACAGGCCTGATAAGCTGTTATTCCATTGAACATTTCAATAAGGAAGATTACGATATCACATATGAAGAAGAACATAATTTTTTACTTAGTTATCTGTGTCACCTGCGGAAATGTTGCCTTTTATTCACACGTGATAGGATTACAAATTCCATAACTAAAGATTAAAGCCCTTACAAATTTACAGGACTAGATCATGCAAAATGGAAAAGCTTTCTCTCATTTTGCCTTATTGCTGGGGATACTGTAAGAGCGCATCGATTTCACACCTGAACGACTATGAAATGTACGTGATTTGCTTTCCTTAAAATAATGGACGCAATGTCATGTGGAAACCTTGCTGCTTGTTTCTGATAAGGAGAAAAAATGCAGTATGTTTCAGATCACGAAAGATAAATCTTGTTTGCATTTCAGTGATCATATGAAATATAGATAAGTGAGGGAATAACACTTACATATTTCATTTATCAAATATAATCTGCAACGTGACTGAAATAGTCATTTTGCAGATTTTATTTGATGAAATGAAATATGTCAGTAAGGACACTGGCATGTTATTTAACAATGCCAAGACGTCAATGTATAGTTATGTTCATGTACATTATCGTAAGAGTTGTGATTAAATTGGATTCTACCAAGATTTTCTTTCTTTTGTGACTTAACACTATAAAATGATATTTTTTAGCTTAAATATATCTGTTTTTGTACCAAATGATCGTCAAAATTATATAACCTCTCTACAGATAAATTTTTATGTTAATAATAATTATTCCTTAACAAAGGTACTTTTTTGATTCATTGAATTTTTTCCTTATTTGAATGAGCACTTTAAATGTATTACATGAAAAAATATTTCCATATAATAAAATTTAAAATCTCTATATAATTCTATGTGTTTTGTCTTTAGTTCTAACAGGGTGACATGTTTCTTTTTTCTTCTTCAATGTAGTCCGAAATATGTCGGCCTATAAGTAAAGATTTTCTTATAGGTGCTTAATTTATGACATATTTTATTTTAAATAGAATTTTACATTTTGAAAAATAGACTAAAATTCCTTAAAAAATAACATAACCATTTACACAGAACGAAACTGTGCCATTCAGTTAACTGAGAGGTTGAAAGTGACTGAATGGTAGACATGTGCCGTTCAGTCAGCCTCCCATGCAGACGTTTCAGTGACAATTCAGTTTGACTAAAAAGTTTCAATTTCATCCTGTTGTTTCGTTGTAAATTACCGGGTGGCAGAAAATGTAAAACTTACAACTTGACACCGTGTTAATTCCAAAAATAGGATCACTTACTCAGATATTACTTACACCTCATTTCCTTTGCTGTGTCATTAATTCAAAGAGTCACGTCTTTGAGAACTAAGTATAATACGAGCCATTAGATATAAGAAAAATAAGGTGCCACGTGCCAGCCTACGTGGGTGGTAAATTTCAAATAATACAACAATTAGGTTATCCGTGTACGTTCATCTGAATTATATTATATACACATGCATTCCACGTTTATCCAGGGCATGTCAATCATCAAATAATTTTTTTCCCATTCTAAACGAATAAATATTAAAATTTAAATAAGAAAATCAATGAAATAAGAGAAGCTATATTAAAAAGACATTTTAATTTTTATTACATATAATTACGATACAAACTGTTTATATTGATAACATTGTTATGTGGTTGAGAAAGTGAAAGATCGACAAAATTATTTAAAGAGGGTTAAAAAGTTAAAATAGAATGTTCCGATATTTTCTCGACTGGATTTATTATAACAACGCATGTGAGATTCTGCAATTTTTGTTTTACAGAAACTTCAACATGGCAATATAACAAACATATAAATTAAATAATAAAAAGACCATGGAATTAACGGCTGCTTTTATTAAATATTTTATTTTCAAAAATGATACAGACTGATTATGCCCATCGGAGGAACATATTTTCTAGTTTCAGATGCTTCAATAGACCCACCTGAAACAACTCTAGAAAGATGGTTTATTTCACCCTGTAGTCATTCCTTAACCTACATGTCTGTACCATCAATTCTAAAACCTATAACTACTGTTCTCAGAAAACATCCCAAAAAATACCAATAATTTGTTAAACAGATAGTGTTACCTTTTATCTATAAATCTTTATTCCATAGAATTCTACCGAAGGATTTAGTAGTTATTTTGTAATAGAAATCATGACGGTAGGAAATTACCCTTATCATATTTTCATTACGGGTTCTATTGCCACTTAATGTTGCCCTGCTGCCAAGTTTAATTAGTTTTGGGTTATTTATAAATGCTTAATCTTCTCCCGTCTTCGTAACTCATTACAAATTAGATAACACTTGAGATTAGGCAAAATGCAAACATTCTAATTGATTGGCGCAATTCAAAAAATGTTTTAAAGTAAACCCATCACCTCAGACGTCAAAGGAGCTCCAGAAAGAAAATCCCCCACGCAGTGCCTCGATATTTTGTTTGGAGGGGGAGGAAAATTTAAAGAAAGGAATGAATACTTACAGTAATATTTTCTGTTAATTTTAGAACAAGATGCTCCCAAGTGATGCTTTATAAAGTTAATGTATTTTATAAGGAAATTCGTATTTATACCTCTGTTAATTCCTTGGCTTTATTACGCAATGTCGTCGATTTGGAAAGACGGGGTATCTGATTTGGTCCCTAATGAGGTCATTAAACGAAATGTCATATAAATTTGTAATAATTCCTATATGATTGTGTGTAATTAAGCTAAATACAGGTATAATCTAGCAGTTACTTCGCGTGCCAGAGGATTGTGGAATGGTCCGAAAAATGGAAGAATTTTTCTTCCAAATTGGTACAAATTACGTATCGTAACGATACACCATATTCTTCGGCACGCTACATTTGTAAGCTGTCAGAAAAATAAGAATCAGGGAGATAGGAATCTGTTCTCCGGAGTACATCTGCAGAATAGATTTTTGCCATCCAATAAACCCGTGTAAGATGTTTACTTCACTTGATAAAACAAGACGAAACGATATTGACCGAGTAATGTCTCTTTACGATTCTGTACCCGAGAAAAGAAAGATTCCATCTCCAATAAAAGTCATTACTGACGGGGAAATAAACCATGGAGTGCGTTAATTACACAACAAGAAAAAATTAACTCAATAAACACGGCATTAAGGAACAATGACTAAGTAACTAGCGTGAGAATTCTAGGTTCTCCTAAATATATTAATGTCCTTTGTTTTATTATGTAGTTATCTTTTTTTTCAATAACGTGATAAAAATAAATTTGAGTTCTATTTCATAATAAGTGTTAATAAAAGTTTTACAGCAAAAAACAATTATAGATATTGTCTAATTAAGGGACTTTTCAATTAAGAAATATGCAATGCATCCATTGATTGGTTGGAGAAAAAAAACCCACAGGATGCGTAATCTTATAATTTCACGGGATAATATATTTATCTTTCAAAGTCTATAATATAACTAAATATAGATGAAATTGTTGGAAATCACTTTATCTGCAAGTGACTTCTCTTGATAAATGAAAGAAAGGAAAGTACAGTATAATTAAACGTAAATGAATATAAAACATATGGACACACAAAAAACCCCAGATAGATGGCCAAAGGGCCAGAGAATAAATGCACGACCTATAGAAAAAAATATATGACAGAAACCTACGGTAAACAAATGTCCTTTCTCATTATAACTAGAGCACCTTGCTAAATACTCAGGGAAGAGACATTTGCAAAGATTGATTGAATGTTGAAAAATACGTTCACTGGTTTAGGAAAAGAGGATGAAAATATTTAGAAGTTTATCCTCGAATATTGAAAAAAATCTGTCAAATATGTCTATGATTACTTGATTAGCAGGACAATTTACAGTGAAAAGCAATATTTATTGC